TCGGTTTGTGCGTCCGTTCGTTCGTCCGTCCGTCTGTCCCGCTTCAGGTTAAAGTTTTTGGTCAAGGTAGTTTTTGATGAAGTTGAAGTCCAATCAACTTGAAACTTAGTACACATGTTTCCTATGATATGATCTTTCTAATTTTAATGCCAAATTAGAGTTTTGACCCCAATTTCACGGTCTACTGAACATAGAAAATCATAGTGCGAGTGGGCAGGTTTAAGTTTTTGGTCAAGGTAGTTTTCGATGAAGTTGAAGTCCAATCAACTTGAAACTTAGTACACATGTTCCCTATGATATGATCTTTCTAATTTTAATGCTGAACATAGAAAATGATAGTGCGAGTGGGGCATCCGTGTACTATGGACACATTCTTGTTATGTACTGTTTTCTGCTGTCAAATTCATGTTCACCGATTTGACTCAAATTAACAGTGCATGGTCTCGATAATATGTATCAACATTTCGTGTGTATTTTTGTCTAGACGTCATCTAATTAACCATCGAGATGACCTCCGAAGACTGCCGACGGTCATATAACTCGATATAAACATAAATATAAATATAAATAGATAGCGACCACGTGCAATTGTTTTTTTTTAGGTCTGTTTGATTTCATATTGTAGGTTAAAAAGAATGTTTATCATCGTTTTTACCTGTATAAGAATGATTTTTGTGGATCGAATCAGTCAACCAAATGGTTCATCCTTGTTTCACTTTCAATGTTGACATTCTTTTCCTTTTATAGCTGAATACATGCGTAACCTATGTCCAGCGAAGGGGTTTAATTGAAGGTCACATGAATACGGATTAAGTGAGGTCGAATTATTCACTTGCAAGTGAATAATTCATCAGCGATGTTTCTTAGCTTATTTTGACAAAATTGAACCAAATTGTCTGATAAAAGCGAATTATTATTTCACTATTTCACTTTCACTAATTATTGAACAAAAACAAATCAAATTTTATCTTTTTTTTTCATATCTCGTAGCTAGCGCCCCTTTAAGAAATTTAAATTGCTGTTATCGGTTGTCGGTATTTTAAATTGACTGTTATCTGCTTTGAGCAAAATCAAAAATTGTTAACCTGTTAATGGACCCCCCCCCCCCCCTTCTTGCCACCCTCAATCATGTGTATCACATGTGTTTTCCACAAATGTGTCACATGCGTTAGACACGCATGTGAAACGCATGTGTCACGCATGTGCACATATGTGGCATTTTCGTCTGTGTATAACTCGAAGGAAATTTAGAATTGCTTTGATATTGCGTTTTAAATTCACCTCAGTTCGATACATGTACTTTAATCTGTTCTAAGGTAGACACCATCTTTTCTTTACACTTTTGCATTATATATCGAAGGTATGTTACGAATGCATCTAAATGATTAATGCGTTGACTTTTCTCGTCTGATAGTTATAAAACCTTTACTCTTGATACCATCCTTTGGCTATTTACGTGCCAAGAAGTAGCAAGCCATTATCAAGATTTCAAGATTTACTCCTATTTTCAGAAACTAAACACTCCCCTCCTTTCAAACGTGCTTTAAAATATAATTGGGTGTTGAGGAGCCTTTCATCTGTAGTTTGATGTTTCATGTGATTTTAAGGTTTAATACTGATTCTTGTAAAAGTTTGCTCTCCCCAATCTGTTGTGAATTGTTTAAATTTGAAACGAAAATGAGACAGTAATGAGACACAAAATTAACCAATTAAAAACGCAATATTTTAATTGAATTTATTCAAAAAGATATTTCAAGAGACAACATTCCGTGATTCGTTTTTAGCGATAAAAAATACAACAAGCAAAGCTTTTAGTCGTTTAGAATCTAAAGGTGTAAACAAGCTGTCTTGGCATTGTTATGTTTATTTTAAATCGGGAACCTCGGCAGTGGTTGTCTTTTGTCACATCTTAATGCTTGTGTCATTAGAAATTGTGTGTTTATGGCAGGTCGTTGATATCGGGTCCTTCTTAAATAAATTCACAATTTTTGTTTATTCTGGGCATTTAAGATACACCTGTCTGTTGTTGTTTGATTTTTTGTTAGCTTAACGTCCAGTAGCAAATATTTCATGGTTTATGTTGGCCCCTGGACGTCTTGTTTTTTTCGGGTTTTTTGTGTTGCTGTCTCATTGCCGTATACATCAAATATTTATTTATGTTAGGTAATGATCTTTAAATTAAATTTGAACCAAACATACATGTCTCTGGTAGAGCCATACACGATTATCGCACATGGTTTTATGGACAGTAATGATTGTACACTCAATTCATCAATTTACTGAAAGTAGCCAGTGTAAATGTTAAACAGAAGTCATTTGATTCATTATTATCAGTGCAGAGACATTTCACCTTTTTATAATAAAATGCAGCTCGATATCTTAATGTTGATCGTTTCCATCATTTAAAATTGAAAGCAATATGATAAAACCCTGGATTAGTTTGGGTTTTTTTAGTAGGATTTGTGTTGCAGTAGCTATAGGACACACCAACACTAACCAATGAAGATGACACATTATGTAGTAAAAAAAACTGCCTTTAGCTAACCAAGGCTTTAGAGGAACAGGACTTAGCTTACATTAATGACCTGCCGGAGTACACATCTTCAGATGCCAGATTGTTTGAAGATGATAGCATGGTCTTCGTGATCTTCAGAGAGATCAGAAATCAGGCTGATGCGGCGACCTTTCAGAGACCTCTCCTCTTGAAGAGTAGGAATGACAGATGTATTTTCACCCTGAAAATTGCACCGTTTTAAAGGTTTCAAGCAATCTACACCAGCTGGATTTTCAGAGTGGGAAATACTTTGATGTGTACTTAACACACCATTATCATTGGGAGAGCCACATAAACCCTGACCTCTGCCAGCCATATGGTACCCGCTTCTATGTGGGACCACATCAAAAACCATTGACCAGACCTTAAACAAGTTCAGCGCAGAGAGGATCGTTTTCACGGTCCACAACCAGTACATCGACAATTCACCAAACTGCGTCACTGAATTACTAAACCAACTCCAGTGGGACACCTTACATCCAAGACGAATGAACCTGCGCCTGGTCAATCTATAAAATCTTAAATGCATCTAGTCTACTTCAGATCCAACCTGGGAATCTACTACACACCCGGGGGGACAGTGAAACAAGGGGAGGCCATAGATTAAGACAGATCAGACCAACAGAGGAAGTATTTCAGCAAATCCTTTTTCCCACGATCTGTAAGAGACTGGAACTTTCAGCAAACTACAGTAGGAGGTGCACCAACACCTGAGTTCAAGGACAGATTAGTCGGTGTGTTTAGGACCCAGTTGCAATCGGAACTACTCGGCCTTTCTGGTTGCACGAAGAAGTAGTTACGATTGGACCCAGTTGCAGCCTTACTAGACATCATCCGGCCAATATTTTCATGGAAATAGATTTAATTTATTTATTTCAATGGAGAAGCCTCCTGTTTTACCGAGCGCAGTTAGTAAATCACTAAAATATGACGTAAATTTCTTCCCAAATAAACTTTTTTGTTGGGTTGTGTAGTTAAAACTTCACCTTTTTCAAATTGTTTTGGATGATTTTGTGTTCTTTTCTGTTTGGGTATTGTCTTGTGATTTTTCGAATACCCCTTGTATGTTTTTCACTTTTTGCATTGCAAGTCATGATCAAGAAGTAGGAAATTCAAATCAAAGTCTAGGCTATTATCCACTTCATTTAAATTCTGGTTGATAGTCAACTCATTGGCAATCATACCACATCTCGTCTTTTTATACAACCATACTCTCTATTTCTAATTGTAAAATGCTGCATGAAAATTGATGAATCATCAATCCAGTATCTACACGTCTATAAATATATAAACAACCAGTACACCATGACTAATACAAAAGACATCCAAAGAACACAAATAGTGTACATACATTTGAACTTGCACTGTGTATAAGTACAAAATATATATATAACATCAGAAAATTAACCAGAACATCCTCATGATGCCAAGAACCTCATTGAAGTGGGTTGATTATAGATTTCCAGGGCTGGGAGAATGCAAAATTACTTAAGGGAATCACTGCCTGGCTTTTGCTTAAGATATAATTAACATAATTTATTTTAATTGTGATTACAAAAATACTTCTTATTGCATCACTTTAACCTCTTTTTAATGACAAGATTTGGTGATCTTGAGTCCAATTGTGTTAAAGAGAGGCAAAGGATACCAAAGGGACATTCAAACTCATTAGTTGAAATAAAAACTGACAATGCCATGGCTAAAAAAGAAAAAGACAAACAAACATTACACAAAACACAACATAGAAAACCAGACTGAGCAACACGAACCCCACCAAAAACTGGGGGTGATCTCAGGTGCTCCAGAAGGGTAAGCAGATCCTGCTCCACATGTGGCACCTGTCGTGTTGCTCATGTAAGTACAAACCAGATGATATGTCTAATTCGGTAGGTCACATTCGAGGGAAAGGGGAAGAGATAGTAGTTACGACAATTGGAACATATCCGTCGTCAATTTTTACTACTGAATGATAACAGAAGCTATCACATGGGTAATTTTGACTCTATTATATGTACCTATCGGAGGTGATGTACTGCTCATTGTTGGAATGTCAAGAACAAACATTTTTGTGTTAATATTAGTCTTGAAAAGCTGAAAATTGACTTTTCTAGCAATCCTATTGAAAGGACAAACTACCAATGAGAATTAACCAAAATCTTGCAGAATTTCCATTATTATCAACCATAATCAAAATCAAACATTCCAAAAACAAACAGATGAACACCAGCAATATTTTGGAGTATAAAATTCACTTTAGAATTATATCATATTGTCTCATGTACATGTTATCCCTATCATAAACTGTTTGATCTATTGAGCAAAATACCAGGTGTACAGTCATTTCTAGGAGAGATAAGGAACATATTCATCAGCCAAAGGTGTAAATTAATCTGGTCATTTACACCAGGGCAGGATTAAAAAAATATGATAAAGACAAATTCTGTAGTTAAGCAATACAAGTTTATTGTCGGTAAAAACAAGTTGGCAATATCCAGGGAGTCGTCACATGATGAACACATGGTCATCATAAGTACAGCTCTCGAAACATATTAGTTCCAAACGTCTTACTAAAAATGTTGTCAAATGACAAACAAAATATGTAAAGTATAAGAATATTTATAATAAAGAATAAAAATTTGGTACAATACAATTAAGTTCTTTTATAGAAATACAATAATTTACTTAGGAAAGAAGTGGAGCATATTTTGTGAACCATAGGCCTGCTACCAGTCTTAAGTCATACTATACAAATATTACATGCAAAAAATCAACGTTCAATACATTATATTATACAACTGTGGAGTCTCCTTCAACAGAAGTGGAGGGAAAGAGGATTGGGACTGGATATTGCCCGATTGTTCAATGGTAGGCCAAAAATAAGGACAGTTTGGTCATTTTACTGCAGATTCTGCAGATTTTTAAAATGCCATTCTGAATATCTATCAACCCACCATATTCTGTTATTTTGCTACCCCTTTTGTTGTGTAAAATTTGTCAACAGCATGTCAAAAATCTTAAAGGTTACTACAAATTGGAAGGAGAAACCTGCTCTATATGTATCCCATGATTCCCTCAACAAAGTAGCTAAAAAGTCTGGCGGTCCAACACTGATTCACACAAACATATTTCCCCAGATATACAAACATTGCAAAAAACATAAAATAGACGAAAATTTGCTTGGTATCAAAAGTTGTGTAGTAACCTTAAAGATTTGTGACTAAACATCTCATTTTTAAATTCGAAATATATTAGTAACAGATATTTATTTGTCTTTACATAAATAATTGAAAATGAACATGTACTTCAAGCACTGTATTATATCATTATCCTTCTTTACACAAAACAGTCAAAACATTTAACTGTACAAATAAATACATTATCACATTACAAGAAAATGCATTATTGTCCGAGAAACACGTGATTCTGGCCTGTAAAGAAACCAATGATATATACGACTTTGGTGAGGGGAATATGAAACCAGTTTTTAGTATCCAGCCAATTCAGCGAAGGTGGCATCCAATTCGTCGCTGATAGCTTTATATTTCTCCTTCTCAGTAAGCAATTCATCTGAAAAAAATAATAATCTTGAATTAGATATTGTTTATGGGATGGTAAAAGGGAATAAAATACAAAATATACTGTAGAGAATGGTGAATAACTTATAAGCATGTGACTTTTAATGATGCACATTTGTAACACTACAACCGGCCATTTATTCATGTAATTTATGATACTTGTAAAAATAAGTTCTTTGTAAGAAAACACTATCTTTTGCACTTGCTTTGATGATAAGGAATTTGGTTAATTTCCAAGTCTCACAATTTTTTCTTTCTCTTTTATTTGTAAAGTGATTAATGTTCGAGTCCGCCACTTATAATACTTATTCACTCATCCTATACGTCATAACTTCAATATTACGTTTCCACTTTATTATGTCTATAACTTCCTTCTATCAAATATTTTAAAATAGTGAATCAATTAACGGACTTTTTCCTCAAATGTTGAAATGCAAAAGAAAAGAGAAATGTAGTGTACATAAATGAGACAGCAGCTCAAAGACCAGAAAAAAACAAAAAAAGACATCTTGGTGTTAATTTACAGTCAACATCAGAAGTGTCTTTACAGAATAGCTTTTAATTAGCCTTATATTTCAGAGAACTTTTTATTTGTCTTTTTTACAATCTTATGTAATTCTGTTTTATCTATTTATTTATCCTACTAAAGGTCACAGTGGTTCAAAATTTGAAATTCTATTTTAAAGTATATATCTCATCTATTTTCCTTCTGATAAATTTATAAATATTAGATCAATGTAAAATGCACTCCCTTACATGATAATGTTTTAAAACATTTCCCTTTACAAAATGGATCTTCCAATACCTTTGAACCACTGTGTGTATAAATTGTATCTATAATGAATTCAAACCTGTACAACTGTGTAGATCATTCAAAAAAAAGCATGCATCTCTACAAATTGTTTAAGTCTGCTAATGTAGCATCCATTTCTTCTTGCAGATCCATTCTTTGTCTGTGTTCATTTTCATAATCCTCTGTAAACACACACACATGCAAAAAATAACATCATGCAATCATGCCAATCACTATGGTGGCAGCAGAAACCTATTTTCATGAGTAATAATGCTTGTTTCTCTCTCTGTATTTGCCATTTTGCCAAATTTATAGCAATTTAACAGTTTTGTTAACAATTTTCTATTTTGAATTGAGAACTTTTGACTTCACATCAGTGGTTTAATTTTTTACCAGTGAAGTATTTTAAAACAAAATCATCTCGGAAATATCTTAGTTAATTTCTACTTTTAAACAGTAAATATACTCTTATAATGTTCTAAATATGCAGGTGAGTTTTACTACAATCATGGTTACCGAAAAAAAGATGTAGTTTGCAAAAAAATTTCATGAAAATCTGCTTTCTTTTCAACACAGGTATTGTAAGTTTCTCAATTTAACATGATTTTGACTCTGCTTAAAGCATATGGCAAGTAATTCATAACTTATAATCTTTATGAATCCTAACACATTGCATACCAATAAATCAGTTTGATATAGAAGTTGTAATGATATTATTTCAATTTTGATAAAAATTTGTTCTGTAAAAACATTTAAGGCAAATTTATTTCAAAACTCTTGCTTTTTTTATGAACTTAAATAATAACAGAAAAAAAGTCATGTTAGTTCGTTTTTGTCATAACTCCTCCAATTTCTAAATCACTGATTGTGATGCACGAAATGTATGTTTATATGTTATTAGTACACATGTTCAATAACTTGTGTTTCAATGTTAAAATTCACACAAAAGGCATTTACTATAACACTAATATCAATAACTTCTTTACAGATGCTCATTCATTAACAGTAAAGTAATTCTTCAGCTTATCAAAAAAGAAAATACTATTTTCCAAATCAAACTGTTATAAAAAAAAACAAAAATTCTGACATGTTTCTGTTAATGAATGCATCTTCTGTAATGAAATTAGTAATAATATCTGCATATCACAAGACATGTTAATCATTCAAAATGCATTGAATAGATTTGAGGAAACTTAAAAACTAGGTAGACCATTATAAACCGTTTCATATTAAAGTCTGGTTACTTTTTTCCATAACTCAATTGTATCATAAACCTATCGCATTGTCTCCTTATACCAATTGATATTTTTTTTAGTTTCTATCTAAAGGGAAGTAACTACATGATAATCTGATAACACATTACTTCCCTTTGATAGGTTTTTGCTTTCTTTTTCCTTCTGATAACCGCCACAATTTTCGGAAATTTTGATTTGTATATTACCTACCTTGGATTTTGTCCACCTCTCTCTGTAATGTTTGAACGGTGCGGTCACTAGTTTCAGCCCTATATTCAGCCTAAGGACAAATCACACAAATATCAACATCATGCTATTAGTCAGTTTTCTGGATCTTGGCAAAAATTTGGTTCTGTATTGCAAAGGATTCAGCAATTCTTTCAAACAATAATTTTTTTTTTCTTCATGGTACGAATAGTGTTAAATTTTCAACTTAAAGAGTAGAAATTGCTGAAAACTTTGTACAATCTAAAACTAAACAAGGAGCCAAAATAATTCCTACCATTTTTCCAATGTAAAGGCATTATTTCATACTTGTTAGTCAATGACTGTTCAGACATGCAGGTTCATTTTACTTCCTAATTTCAAGGAATTATTTTGGCCACAAACAAGTAAAACAAAAATCTCTTGAGGTTTAATCCATCTTCAAATTTGCTCAAGATTCTCTCCAAAATCAAGTCAATTCTCATGTATTTTCATTTATATTATTAAATCTACAAACCAGAAAAGTGATCTTTATAAAAAACAAACTTAGACTTGAGAAAATTTGATTGATTAACCTCTGGTCTAGCTGAAAAACAAAAAACCAAGATAACAGGTGCAACAACATAAACTAATCGCTCGGGGGGCACCATGCACCCTACCTTCCAATCGATCTACTTCTTTTTGCAACTTGGAAACAGTTCTCTCAGCCTCTGTTGCACGATTTTCAGCCTTTTAAAATGAATGGTAATATTCAAATTATGAATCATCTCATACTTTCTAGGCATGGTCATGTGATTTTTTAGATTTTGTTGTAAAATGTCACATGGTAAAGTGATTTTTATTATTTTGTTGTACATTGTCACATGGTCATAAAATTTTAATAATTTTGTTGGACAGTGTTGGTGCCTCTTTTTTTTTTGGTTGATACAAATTTAATATGCAGTGATTCACATATATACAGAACAAAATTTGTGTACTAAGTATACTAAAAAAAAAAGAAAGCAGAGCATTGCTAGATAGGATTATAGCACAATATTATAAAGAGATAAGCACATATTGTTTCTCATGATTTGGATTGGTGCTCTAATTTTTACCTGTAAATTAAAAACAGATAAATTACAATAATTTGTAACTAATATTCAGAATTTTCAAATCTTGTAGAATTATCTTATATTTCTTATTTTTCTTTGAGAGAAAAAAAAAACATACATGTAACTATATCGCAAAGAAAGGAGACTTGAAACTTAATGTGAGTTTTCATTAGTTTTCTTCAAAACACCTTTTCATAAATTCCTCAGGTAAAACAATATTGAATTTCAGGCACCATGCATTTGTAGGTTTGATTTTAAAATTTTTGTCCCACTAGTGTTATTCTGATACAAATAATGATTGACACCAAGTAATGTCGTCAAGTATACAAACATGGATTTGTTTACATATAAAACTTACATCCTTCAGTCTGTTTGTAAGATCTCTGATTGTTTCTTCATAACTGTCCTCCCTCTGTGAGGCCTGTTAACACAAATACATTCTCTACATTAGTCAAGTGTACAACCCAAGTATGACCAATGGTCAAACAATATGGAAAGACTTCAAAATGAAAACTTTTCTTTTAACCATGTCTCTTTCTTCAAAATATGGACAGTACCTATCCCTTCTTTTTTAAATATTTTTCAAAGATTGTGTTTGTAAAATTTTAATTTGATATTAAATATGACAAACCCCACTAATAGCTCACTAATTTACTAATCTTTCCATATTATTTTAATCTGTAGATAAAAGTCTTAGATTGAAATCTAAAATTCAGCAACTACAATAAATATAACTATCGTTTTAATGCAACTTGTAAACCAACTGATGATCTTTTTCATTTTGTAATTCTTTTTTTCAGTTAGAATCCTCTGCATATTTTTTTTTTCAAAGTTAGATGATCAGATGGCTTTTTTTAATTTATAATCTGCTATTTATAACAAAATTTAACAATTTATATATTATGGACATAGCCATGCCCTGTACAATACTGATCTGCCTACAATAAAAAGGAAAAAAGCAAAATAAATTAGGCAGACACAATACAACTGTAAGCAATAATTAGCAGGAACCTAAAGCATTTCTAATCTATTATATAAAGAATTTTTAAATTAACTCTTTCAACTTTTTCGCCTGAATTTTTCTGTGAAATTGCTAACTTTTGAATTTTCAGATTTTTACAGTCAGAACATGCCTACAACATCAAATTGTAGCTGCTAAGTTTGACATGCTGCCAAAATAAAATAAAAATCTACACTACTTCATTCTTTTAAATTGTTTGAATTTTGTAGAAAAAAAATATTATCTATATTTGAAAATATCCCTGAAATTATGCTTTGTATATTGTGTCCAATTAAAAAATTCTAACATAAATTTGATATAAAAACGTATAAACTTAATCCACTGACCCTTTACAGTTTTCTCTCAAAACATAATTTCAAGAATTAAGAATATGTATTTAGAGAGCAAAAGCTATATCTTTACATCAAAAATAAAGTAATTTTGCTCATCATAAGTTAACATTTAATTTATTATGAAAACGTTCACATAAAAGGCCAACATTTAAGGGAAGAAACATTGGGAAACTTGACAATATACATACATGTATATTAAATTTTGTTTAAATTTTGTTTTTGTTTATGTTAAGGTAGACCAGGGGTCTTAATTCAATTTTGATTGTAAATAGCTGCAAATGATTATTCTATATTTCTAATAATATTAGCAATTTTGATGCAGAAATGGAATATACTTGTGAATTTTCAATTGAAGGAATTTTTTTTATGATTTTAGCTTATGGGTACTTTTTTTTTACAAAAACAGACAATTCTTTCATAAATTCAAAATTTTTAACTTTGGTATATCCAAGGAGATAACTCAGATTGGTTGATTGTTTATTATTCAGAACATTTTTTTTTATAAAGGAATAAACTTTAAATTTACCTATATTGTTATGAAGCAAGACAACCAATATGGTGACCAAATTTCAATTTTTATTTTCAGAAAGCTCATTATAAGAACTATATTTAATCTATTTAGAAATTCTATTAATAAGTTTTCTTTCTTTTCACATATAAATTTTTGTCCATGTATACATGTATAGTCCTTACAAAATCTGTTAATTTTGCACAATCATTAGCTTGAAAAAAAAAACCTTGCGACTTAGTTTTTATCATATTTTTTAAAATAGAATGTGAACAACTTTTTGCAAAGTATGAACAAATTCTATTGTTCTTATCTTATGTTTTTAAGAGGAAAGTCATGTGATTAAATGGGTCAGTTCATGCGCCGCAAGAAAGCGAACACCATGCACCATTTGATTATGGTGTTGGTTTTATACCTCTTCCTGAGAAAGCTCGAGAGATTTCATATTGTTTCCAATAACCTTCAACTCCTCTTCGAGCTCAAGGACTTTCCTGAAAAAGCAAAGAAATGAAACCACTTAAGTACAGCCGGACCCAGCCAGTTTTTCTTACCTGGTCATTTTGGACCTGAAGGGTTTTGATATTTGCCCCAACAACTGTGAGCTGCTCTTCAAGATCAATTACTTTGCTGGAAAATAAGAAAGGGTTTACTAGGCATGTTGATTTTATGAAATGAACAACCTGAAAAGCCCAATGATGAAAAATGTGCTTCATCAAATATGCTTCTGGAAGTTCATTTCAAAATTTAATTATTTTTTTTTTAAAGAAAATAAAACTTCATGCATTTACAACTGAAAATTCACATGCCACAAATATAACTCCAGCAAACCCAATCATTAAAATATGCTGAAATAAAAATATGGGTGTGTAAAATGAAAATCTGGCTAGGTCTAGCTGTTGATTTAAGAAGATTGTGTGATATTGGAATGGACAGGAAAAAAATTAATTAATTCAACTTAAAAATCTTGGTTATCAATATGAAAAATTACTTTACTGAATGATTTACTGAAAGAATTTATTTTTATATCCAAATGTTTCAAATCAAATCTTTTTATCTAACACAGAGAAAGGCTGGCTACCATGCATTAAGGTTCTCTGTGTAAATGAAATTATGCAATTTTTTTAGAAAGACAAGATGATAAACAATATGCATATAAAACTGACTAGTTATGCATACACATAACATTCAGGACCTGTGTTCACACAACTTTCTTCAACAGCCATGGAAATATTTTCAGTAGTATTTGGAATATTATACATTTCTCCAAAGACAGCTGAACCATACTCAAACATATATAGTTGAAATTAGCAATCAATAAGGAAGATATGCATTGTCATTCTAAATTTTGTTCACAATTTTTCTTTTTTCCCATTAAAAAATATGAAATGCATATTTCTTTCAAGATTGGCAAATTTCAGTAATCTCTAAACAATTTGGCTTGTTTGAATAGTTATAAAAATCATGGAACATTAATATAATCCCCCACCAATGAAATCTAGCGAAAAATCACGATAGGAACCATATTCAAACAAGCCAATCAATGCAGTTATTACAAACACAACATTGAGCATGCTTACCTTTTCTTCGCCTATTTCTAGGCCTCTAAGGTTGTTAGTAGCTATATGAAGTTCGTCTTCAAGTGTTTTTACTTGTCTGAAAAATTCACAACAAGCATACAAAGGGATCAGACACACCATGCAGGCATGACCACATGCATTTGACAAATTGGTTTATGTGAATTCTGTCAACATAATAGCAATTCAATCCTCCATTTTCAGTTGAATTTAAATTTTATTCCTTGACCAACTGGTCAATAAAAATGTGACTGGATATTTCTGGTTTTTTTTGGCATTCAATTTATGTAAACAAATACTTTGTACATGTACATATCTTTTGCATCTAGATTCAAGGGTCAAGAGGGCATATTTTCTGAAATTGACTTTTTGGACCATATTGTCAATGTGAAATCATGCGAACACACCATGCAATTTTAAATATCACAATTTTTCTTTGAGAAAAATCTTTTCCATTTTTTTTTTACTAAGATGAGTTTGTATCATTACACACTTTTTTAATTCATTGTATAAATTCAATGCTAAGATCATCTTGTTTTCATTCATGTAAATTATTCATCTTGAAAATTTTTCTTTTTTTTTCAACTAATCATGTGATGTAACAGTATCATGTGACAAATTACCTATATATAAAGTGCAACAAATGTTAGTATAAGGGTATAACGAAGCACTTTTCCTAAGCACATTTATGTGTGTTATGTGGCTTTGATTCTTTATTTTGTTCTGACAAAATATACAATGGATATTTTTTTTTTAATATGTTGCTCCATTCTTTCGTGTCAGTTTCTTAATTTCAACAAGTCTGAAGATTTGGCATTGATCAATTTAATGTTTGAAAAGCTGTTGTTGTGTGTTCTATCAAGATACAAATATTGATCTTCAAATACAAATTTATTTATATACCACGGAAATTTTTTTTTTTCTTAAATATGTAAACATCTTTGTCTTGCCTTTTTTACCTCACAACATTGAAATACTGTGAACTGTGTGGTGAATGCATTGATTAGACAGTGAGATATAAAGCTGATTGTGTATGTGTACTAAGATTTCCTACAGAAGCTGTGTCTGTTAATTAACCATTCACCAACCTTCTCATATGCTCGTATTTTTCTTCAGTACGTTCTAATTCAGTTTCAGCTACTATCAACTTGCGAGCAGCCTAGAAAATGTTAATTATATATATGGTAACACACACAAACGCATTCCAAAGCATTCCCTATACTCACGCTTCTGCAGCTTCTAATCGTGCCTCGGCACGCTCGAGGTCCACTTCAGTGATAGCAAGTTTACGGGCAGCCTGTTGTATGAAATAGAAGGGTCAATTCCTTTTTCAAAACTTTTACATGTCCAAATAATTTTTAAAAATTCAAATTGTTTTTAAAATTTATCATGCTTTTGTTATTTAACAAATGCCAAATATTTTTTTCTAAAACATCATGCAATTTTTGTCACACCATGCTGCAAATAAATTTTGGGACTACATTAAATATGAGTGTTCAACAAAGTTTTTGTAAATCCTAACATGTACTGGTAAACATAAATATCAAATTTTCAGAATATCATTTTTTAATGGAGATGCAATAACACAATTAGAAAATATAGCCAAATGCTATGTTAATTCATCTGACAGATTAAGTTTACTTTAATGAAGAAATGTATGCTGAATAATTAGACATAAAACTCAAGTTGTCTCCCTTATCTAATAATATTCTGAAACTAAGTCAATACATAAATCTAACTGCACCATAAGAAAATTAAATGGTACAATTAACTTGGAAGGATTTTCAAACACATTGTGAAGAATGCTCATGCTTGCTATCACAAACCAATTACTTTGTTAAATCACAACATTAAAATTTCAGAAGAAAAATTTATTCATTTATTTTATTCAGAAAAAAAAATCTTTGAAATATTTAAAATTGATAAGACAATGAAATAAACATAAAATTGAAATCTCTATCTTATTCCCTGTCATATATTTACTTGAAAAACTATTCAAATTTAAACATTATTGTATTAAGCATAAATAAACATGCTCTTTCCCAGGTCAATTTTAGAACTGTCAAGTTTCGCAAGATTCATATTAAAGTTTATTAGTTTTCAATTCAGATTCATTAAGAAATAATTGTATATTTTCATTTATTTTTTCATCATATGAAGCGAAAATTAACAGTTCCCAGTATAAAATTTCAACATACAGATGGACACTGTTGACTTAGAAGACCCCAGCATCCCCATCGTTTACTCATTAGAATGTCCAAATACGGACATTTTCTTGTTAATACAAAATTGAAACAAAATTTCACTGGGTCATTTTATCTAAGTCATCAGAGTCCTAACAAACTAGAACCATCGATGTAATGTGTGTTTACTTTTCAGAACAAGTTTTATCATTGTAAAACTTAATTCCACATATTTCATCTATGTTTCAGATTTCAACAAAATTTCTGTTTTCTTAACAGTACACCCTTTGCTGCAAATATTTAAACCAGTTCTAATAATGAATTAATCTAAGATGTTGTCGTCTATATATATTTTCTATTTATGCATAGCAGAAATTGTGCAAGATGCAATTTTCTTGGGACATTCTGTGATCTGAATGCAGCAAAGAGTATATTTAGAGAAAAGAGAGGAGTTAATATATTCTCATGCACACAATCTGTATTACTGAGACTTCTGTAGACTTTCATGCTCCATGGTCAAGTCTCACCTAAAATGAAACTGAATTCTGGACTCAATTGCAAGGGAAATAACTCAGATTAAATTGCAAAGGTTCATGTGCAAGGGAAATAATTCATATTTTAGAACTTTTGAGAAATATTCAAAAGGAACCAGTATAGATTTCAGATTTATGAGATAAAATTAAAAAGAACCGTTTATGAAGGGGATTATCAAACAATTCATTGCAGAAAAGCAAACAAAAGCTTTTGCAATCAAACATTAGTCCAGCATAAAAGAAAATCACATGGTTAATAAAAATAAACAAATTACAGAACTTTTCTCAAATGGCTAAAAGGGTATTTTAATATTCACAAAGGGTTATAAATATGTGGGAAAATGCATGGGATTATGATAAGTCTTGCTTTCTTTTCTGTATAAATCATCATCATTGTTCAAAACTTTAAAACTTTTCCTCTTGAGTTTTTGAGTATATTGACAGTAGCAAATGACAGGTCTTAGAAAGCAAGACATCATTATCATTTTTGTTCTCAATTTTAAAGATATCTTATATAAATTTAGAAATTAATAAAGAATATATTTTCCTTGCCATTTTATCCTATTGCTATCATGTCATTACATGGAATTGCAAAAAATATGGATTAATGAACACACAAAATAAAAAGATAATAAACAGTCGAGAACAAAACTGCTAATTCTATGTGTGTCTTTTGATGGTCACCCCAACTGATCATGCAAATGAATCACCTCTTCATATTTTTTATCGGCTTCTTCAGCTATCCATTTTGCCTCAGTCAATTGTTTCTCAAGTTGGTCTATTCTTTCATCATTACCACAGTTAAGGTTTTCCAAGACCTTCCTATTTCTGAGTGCAGAATACAGTATAAGAATTAATATAAAGCTATAGACTAGAGGGCATATGAACTAACAATCAGTATTTATCTCTTGCAACAAGATGAGAAGCATGCCAATAAGTTTTGTGTGGCACAGTCACCTCGTCGTATTTTCTATCGGCATCCTCAGCAATGTATTTGGCCTCTTTCAGTTGTTGTTCTAGAGCATCTATTCGTTCGTCATCTGCTACACTACGACTTTCTAGTACCTTTCTTCCTCTATTAAGATGTTTAAACATAATTATTTAAAAAAATTTGACCATAAATACCAGGAACTGAAATATGCCACAAATGTTCACCATCTAAAAGAACAGAAAGACATTAGTTTTTCAAAAGATTCCTGAAAAAAGAAACAAAGGTATATTAATTGTCCGTATAACTAATTGGCTAAAAAAGCTAAAAGTTGTACAAAGCCACACCCACTGACCACAGATTTTACCTCGTCATATTTGCGTTCCGCTTCATTTGCAATAAGTTCTGTTTGTTTTAAGGCAGCTTCAAGCTGTTCTATTCTCCCATCATCGAGAAACGTTTTGTTCTCCAAAGCCCGTCGACCTCTGTCGGAAAAAAGAAAATCCACATGCAAGCCATTAATTTTGTTATTACCTCATTGTACTTCTTCTCATTTTCTTCGGCAGTGATTTTAAAATCATGCAAATTCCTCTCCAATCTATCCAAATTTTCTTCATCAGTGGAGGTTCGAAATTCCAATTGACGTCTGCCTCTAATGCCATGCAAGTAATTTATAACAGAAATAAACACATGGAAACAAAAAAGCAACTGGACAACATCTAAGCAGAATCATCTACCATACTTGTCCTTATTAAAGCTCATCCCTTTCATAGATCCAAAATATAACATCCCTTTTTTTCAAAATGCCAATGCTTTTATCAGGACAGATATGGTATATTTATCCCTTATTTTTGGTCTGAAAGGTATAAAATGTATAAGATTTTTTTTTCTTTCAATTAACTTTGTTGTCTTATTAGAAATGTAAAGGTGCAGAAATGAAACAAAATAGAGACAGTGCTTCAACAGTGCATTTTTGTAAAACTAATGATTTAGTACTATTTATGACCAGTTATATGCCGTAGGTGTGAGGTGCATAAAATCAGGTAACACGATATGTAAATAAAAGTGTTTGAAATAAATAAAAACATTCCATAATAAAATAAACCTTAAACCATAAATATTGTATGGCATTAGAGGCAGTATATGTTATCTATATAGTACATGATTTTTTGCACATTCTTCCATATGTACCAAACAGTTAAGAAATGAATAGACTTTGGTTAGCTCCTTTAGAATACATGCATCTCATCAAAATATATAATTTCCTTGAAGTTAATCTTTAAAAATAAAAAATATTTTAATCCAATAGACCAAAATCTAAAATTTCTCAATTATTTTCCACAAGAGGCACGAAAGCAAAGAATAATCATATATATTAATATATATATATATAATTATAGAGGGTTAGTGTATATAGATTAACAGGAAGTTAGGTATCATTTAAAATTTCCTTTTACATATTATCAGGTTTAACATTATAAATACAAGCAGGATGTGATTTATCTATAGATCAGCAATATTTCTGTAGTATCACTACAACACTAACAGTCTTCAAGATAAACTTTTGAATCCACAAGCCCGCAGCTCAATCTTACAAAAATTTTAGTTGGATTGTGTTGGCTTGTAGAAAAGAATTTTACAAGCCTGGGCTGGTGGTTAAGCGTGAAGACTGCACTAATGTTTTTTGTATTATTGTATTATCATTAAGCAATACATGTACCTGTATGAAATAGATTGTTAGCTTGAACATGGAAATAGATCAAAATTGCCATATAAACAATGTTAGTTATGTTTTTCCTGTTCTTATAGTGTATATAGCCATTTTATTGATCCTTTTATCTTTTACCATATACATGAATGTGTATCTTAATCTTACTTTCAAAACAGAACTTTTTAAACCTATTAAGCATAAATTTTGGAAAGTATTAATTTCAATATTCTCTATTAAAAATACTTAATAGATATCTCTACAATTTGTTTAAGGAAATAATTTATTTTAATGTTTATACTTCATTAGCCTAACAGGTAAATAAAACCAGTTTCTGACACATTTTGGCCCACAGGGATATAAGTGTTCATTCACCTTCATTTATCATCAATTACTCTCTGTTCATATTTTTTTAAGAAAAACTACAATAATAATATGTGTGTACAGTATCTCAGACATTTTTTTGTTTTTTTCTAACTTGCAGAAACTGATTTTTGAGAGCTATTTTATGATCTCACCATACTATTTTGCTTTATATCAGAAAATCAATAATACATGTGTAATATCAATAAATCCTAGAGGAAATGATGTATGTAGGTGAATCATCAAATTACTATATTCCAAAACAGTCAACCTGTCCTTAGGTACCTTTTTAGAGGTGTAAAAATTGTTAATAATCAATCTAAAGATAAGTTTTTTTTAAAGAAAAGATTGACTATTTTTTCTATGATTTGTTTCTCATGAAGCACACATTCATGTACAAATACTTCCCATTCCTATTTTTTCTCTACTTAAGCTTGACTAAATTCTAGTCAATATTTATGTTAAATCTTTATATATTTTATCTTAACATTACAATATATGGCCATTTTATCAATATCTGAAAGATTTACAAATGCTTCAGTATTATAGTACAAGGTATGCCTTTATTCTGATGGAAAATGTGTGCATTCATGCAAGTAATTTTATAATTCATTTTCAGAACATACTTTGAAAATGCACAAAATCAGGTGAAAAAATGTTATATTTCCAGTTATCCCCTTTACTTTACCACCATTTTTAAAATGTTTACCTTGTCATAAAAAGTGAGAAAAAAATTGTCAATTTTGATGAACTTCAAATTTAAAAGTATTTTTAGATTTCAATAATATTCCAATTTAGCAACCATGAAAAAGCCCATAAATGTATAAGACCACATTACCCACTTTCAGCTTAGTTATAGGAAACACAGCATATTTTTTCGTAGCTCAGTGACATTAAGCAGAGACATATAGCAGTAAATCATAGGGAAATGAAAGCTAAATGTATTATATACATGTATACTGCTTAAATATCAAAGTGTGTTCTGAACTCAAATATCTAAACAACTATTTAACTTCCAAGGTAGGAAATAATTTATGTACAATTATGATAATTCAATGAAATATGAAAACCCATAACCTAAATATGTACATCATCAGTGCATGCAAAAACAGTTCCAACTGAGAATTGCCCATAGAAATACAAATAAACAGCCAATCTGCTTTTGTAGAAATCTGCACTTTAAGTGTTATCTATCAGACTTTGAACATGAGATCTTTTTAAGAGTTTTAAATGTATGCCAAACATGTACAAAAAGTTGACATTTCTTTACATTTCTAATAAATGATAGTTGTTAAAGCCATGATAGATATTAAATGTCAGCACAGACAACCACAGCATAGTAGATCTATAAAGTTCTTTCATTTCTTGGGTACCAAGTGTGTTATTTCAAAAACCTTTAATTGTAAGATGGATATCAAATTTCATTCTTTTCTTATTTCTAACTAAAGAACTCAGAATGTGCTTTTCACTTCAATTCTTAGTTTAGTCATTTGTAAATACCAAAAAATGGTACACAAAGAATCTAAAAGAATTCATAAATCTCCTACATGATATATGATTTTAATGATATATATTTAATGCATAAATGGTATATCAAGTATGAATGAAGGTAAAGTTGATCATTTATTGTAACAGCAACCCAACATGTTTTACAGTTCATAAACTTCTGTTTATAATGTAAAATACAAATGTATGTGTTCTATTTAATGAACTTCTTAAAAACATCTTGGGTTTGCTGTAAGTTATATATCATAATATAAATGTCACCTTGTCTAGTGTTAGTCAATTATCAACATCAAATATCCATATTATCTCTTCCCAATCCTCATACCACTTTATCATTTAGATTTAGAAAGATTTCATCCCTCTCCATTTTGGAGCTACCCTCTTTTCTACTTTAAAAGACTATGTGTACAAGAAAATATCATTATAAAGACGGTGCACCCTTGAGTACTTTAAAAATACCCTGTCCTTTTGAAGCTTGTATGGGAAACTCTTACACAATGTCAATATGATGTTGGTATGACTAAAAGAAGGATATATACCTTTCACTCTCATCTGCAGCCTTTGAAGCTTCCTCTAATTTCCCTGCTGCTGTTGTGTATCGTTCCTCCGATTTCATAATATCTTCCTCTAACATACTGATTTTTCTTGTTAAACTTTGGATTTCTTGTTCATGCTGAAATTTACAGCAAACAATATTAAGCATACATGTTCAATTCTTTTCCTTATAAAAATATGATACTACATGTATTTATTCATATGTTCATTATATTCTTACAATATATCGTTTTTTATGTTTTGTACATATGTTTCCGTTTTCATGTTGATTTATATTACATTGTATACCTGTAGGATTGATATAATTATTTTCATAGGTATATCTGTTTACTGTCAAATTATCCAAGTAAAAATGAAATGATCTTTTCAAAAATGTACATGTATAATCCAACAAACAGTTTAATGTCAAAGGTATTTGTTAAAAGATGTATTCATTTCTAACTGTATACATATTACAGCATGAATGACCTATTTCAAAACAAATTTCTTTTATAAAACTTGATTTGAAATCTATGAATTGAAGGAGATGTGTACCTTTTCTAAATGACAAAAATATTGCTTTACATTTCTAAACTGTCATTTTTAAACTATTAATGGAGGATCCAAAACATGTAAATTGAACCCTTAACTTTAATACACACTTATCATAATATTTTCTACAGAATAAAATGAAACCTCTTGTAGGTCAACAAATTGTTCAACATCCTGTTTTCATTTTTAGAAATTGGACAAATCACACCCTCATACTACTTGCATAAAATTAACTCCAGCAATTTACATTTTGTCTAACAAATTGGATCCCACCTCAAACAAATTAAATATAAATACACATAGATGTCAGTCAATATAAATATCTACATCTACACTTTACAATGCAAACTATATAGTTTAGTGGCCCTATCCATCAATGTATTTACATGGGGTTGATCAACATAAAGTAACAATTTAAACTGTGTTATGTTTGTCACTCTTAGAACATTGAAGTCTATGATCCATGTCTTCATAAAGATACAATGTAGATCTATATCTAATATATCAATGTACAAATCTGACAAATAACCTTACAGTCATTTATACAGTGAAACCAAATAAAAAATAATCAATAAACTTTAAACTGTTTGTAATTGGATGAATTTGTGAGCAATATTCTGTAGGTTCATGACTTTAATATCCTGGTTTTTATTTAGGTCCATGGTCATTGGTCAGCTACATCTATACAGAGCATACAGCACATACATTTACATGTATATAGCTGTTAGTACATGTTCAATGATACATGTACATGTATGTAGTATAAACAATCATGGGGCAGTGCATGTGTCATCTTCAGTTTAAAATGTTATACATGTATATACATGTAATAGAATCATTTTATAATAACATATGTAATATCAGTTAAAGAGAAGTTTGTTTAAAAAATTTACAGGTTTTACTGTTTTGTGACATACATGCACAATTTTGGTAGTTGAACCGAACCTCATAAGCACATCAATACTGGAGGTATTTATTTGATGTCACTATAAGCAACTTGTTACACAAATTTACACACAGATGCATTTTTATAAAGGCTGAATTAGGTTTGAAATGACAGAATGACTGTATATGTAAACATCATGAAATCTCTTAAAACAGCTTACACTGCACTATTTTACTGTTTAAGTGCAAATTAAAATTTAAACAAATAAATAGTTTATGGTATTATTAAAATGTCTACGCCCAATTTCAAGTTGCATGAGTCATCATCTACATCTAGGGGTACTGCATGTATTGTTATAGAAGTTTGATATAAATCATTTCTTGTGTTTGTAATTATTACCTATGTGATTTTTTTTAAATATTTATGAACTAATAAAAGAAATTTGATACCACTAAAATATTGACTGATATTTAATATGTTTTACTGTTGTACTTAAAGAAATTAAGAAACCAAGTTTTGAATAAAAAAAACAATGTTTGATTGTACCAGGAACATATATATATGTTAGATATACTGTTCCCAGTTTGTAATAAAACCTTAAGTCTTCTCATAGAAATGCATCCCAAAAATGTTTATGAAATTTGTATTAATTGTAGGGAATAACAAATGTATTCAATTAAATAATAACATTTTTGTTATCTGTAAAAATTTGTAAACAAATTATTAAAATACCCTTGATTCTTATCTGTACATGTATATCTATCCCTTAAGGTATCTGTTTATATTATTCAATTTTTTTGTTCAAGGAATTTGACCAGTTGTAACTTTTTTAGCTGACAAAACATGATATGCATCAGTGGTTATCAAGGTATAACTAGGTAAAGTTATGACTGGAATTCACTTTGTCCTCATTATTTAAGTAGCAGTTACAATTGAAAACACTCAAAAATGATTTAAAAGCTCTCCAACTGTCTGTGCTTATTGAAAGATGATATGAGGATATTATATCTATAACTACATGTATTTTATCGGAAGGTGTGGTGATCAAGGTACAAATGTATGATGAAAAAGCAGTAAAAATTAATGTTTTACACAGGAAGTGTGTGTTCATACTACACATATTATAACAAATCACTCATGCATTTTGAGCATGTCTGTGGTTTTCCCCTGATATGGGAAGGATTGTCCTTGGTGTGATCATTTCTTACTTGAACCAAATGCCTTATTCTTCTGATTTTAAATGGCGGACTTCAGAAAAAAATTGTACAAATTCATAAACCAGTGCAAAGTAAATAACATACATAATTAAACATTTTACAGCAACAAATGAAAGAAACTCTTTGCACCTTACTGGTTAATAAATATATTGCAATTCAATTTCTCTTTGAGGTTTTATTAACAATTTTTTCAAGGTTAAATGATATGCTTAAGAACGTGTAAACATATGTTCATGTTCGTCCTTCGAATGTTACCACATGAAAACTATTTCTATAAAAACAGATTAAGTTTAAAAATAAAAGATGATTGCTTTTAAAAAGAAATGCTCTCTTTATATAATCTTGTAGGAAGTCAGTCAATATCTGTGTTTTTACTTTAGAAAATAACTTTTTTATTCAGGGAAAAGGTTAATAAATCGGATACATAACTGACAAATTAATTCCCATTAAATCATTTTTCTTCAACCAATCACCAAAATGGATTATAGCCCAAATACATGTAATATAAAAATTTACATTTTTTAATTAACCAAAAATATTGTAAAAAGTGCATTTGATTTTAGGTCAACAGTAGCAACTGTTTGGGTACATAATTAAAAGCCTGGTATCTTTATTTTTTTTCAGTAAAGGTCTACAAAAGACAACAATGTATACATTATACACAATGATGCTGTTTATGACACTGTTAGCTTTGTGTACTTTTGGTGACATTGTCAATATTTGTTGATAACTGTCATAAAATTTAGAACATAGTATATACATGTACCTGTGGATACATGTAATTGGTGAAACATTTAAAACAATGATCCAAAGATATTTAGGTCTGATAAGAATCATAAGATACTGATGGTTTAAATAGTGAAAGTTTTAATAGCTTGGACATTATGTGATCATATCTCAAAGTAAATAAAGTTATCAATTTCTACCAAGATATCAAAGAAACTACAGGTGCTGTAAAAGAGGGGTTACATTGGGGAATTGCTATCAAACTAAAAGTGCCATCATATATTACTTATTATTCTTTTATGCTTTTAATAACATTCATGTATGAATTATTACCTTTGTATCAAAGATAATTATCAAAATCCATCACCAACTTAAATATTACCCCCAACCATTGAAGTCTTTAGATTTTAAGTTAACTGCATCTTTTTGCAAATGCCTGTCTTCTTTTACACTGAACAAAGTAATTTTAACGGAGGTAGTCTTAACCCTTCTTAACCATTGTACATGGAAATAAATTTAACTGAAGTTTTAAAGGGTGAATCATAAACATTAACATTAATTTTTGTTTAGAGTTGTGAATTTTTGCACCTATCTTTCAGCCCCACATGAGTTATCAATGTAAGACGTATGGGCCATAGAATATATAATGTATTTTTTCTATGTAATATTGAAGAAAACTATTACTTTTTCTCAAAAAATATCTAAAAAATTTCAATTATGTAGTCATATTAATTTAGAGTGATCTCCCTTTTTATATCCGCCATACCATACTTGGGAAGAAGCCGGTACTTGCCCGGTCATGAATAATTAGTCCCATTTCACCGCAAAGAACATATATAATCCACTTGCAATTTGATATGCATGCTAACAAATATTCCTTAATGATAATCCAATAAGAAATACACATATAAAGCTTTTACAACTATAAAACTCAAAAGCGGAAATGAAGGCAACACCTACGGTGTCTATGGTCCGTTGAGAAAACTCTAGTTGTGCTGATTTTTCTTCTAAATCATCTTTTAACTTTTCATTCTCGTCTCTTAAATGTTGCATTTTCTCTTTCAGAGCATTCAATGCCCCGCCGCCTGCTTTTACGGACATTTTGAAAATATTAAACTTTAAATTTTTCTCTTGTCAATGAATTCCAGTCCGATCTCAAGACCGTATTACTCCACTATAATTTTTAACACTTCGAATCAATGTAGGTCTTCGATGTTTCTTTCGCTATGATTTTTAAAAGCAGCTGCTCAGTTTGTATGAAAAATTTTAACTGGTTCTAAAATTAAATTGTCCTTGCAGGATACCACAATCACAACCGTTACGTGGTTAAAATATCTATATTCTTACGCAAAAGGATACACATTCAAATGTCGCACTACGAGTCATTTGACCTAAAATGAGACACCTGTGCTGTTTACTCTATTGCTTATCCCCTTACGGTAGATTGCATTGAATCCAAATATGGTAATATCGCCGTACTTTTACTTTCATTTTGATAAGTTTTTACACGTTGTTGACAAGTAAAATTATGAGAAATGCAGTTAATGATTACAACATGGAATCCATCCTTAAACAGGTAAATAAGACATTGTTACTTTAAAGGCGAGGCGAGTGTACTTAATAATTTTTCACTTTTGGGACATTTCAAGTTCAGTTGAAATTTTAATTTATAACAATCAATCAGGGTTTGGACTATTTCTATTTAAAAAACAAACTTTGTAATGGGTAACTTAAGAATTTGTATAATTGGGAATCAGTGGTGTAGTAACTGGAAAATAAATAAAATTCTTATCGAAAAAAATGTTTTATATAAAATTATTTGTAAGCTTACAATGCTACACTGGTGCTACGCCACTGTGAATTAACTTGTTAAGTTTTATGACAAGCGTTACTTAACATCCTAATTGTGTTTAATTTGACGATCAAAACATTTTATTTTATCAACAGATAAATCAAAGTCCTTTTCGAAAAATTGTCCGTGAAATATTCATCCTTAAATATTATGTAAAAGGAAATTATTGAATTTAAAGTGAAACAGACACATAGCGAATGCATCAAATTAAGTAATTAACATGTTTTTTCTGTGTAATTACAGGAAGCATAGCAGTTATACGTTTCCATGTGAACCGGTTCATTACCCCTGGCATCTATATATGGATACGCCAATTAGTGTATGAATGTAGAAATGCACGTGCAGTATGAAATAAGCATAGGTTTTAACACACGAATGTGTACATACATGTACACATAATTTATACATGTGTGCGACATTAAACTTTCATCTGTTTTTGACGGTTAAATTTAGCAGTTAAGTTATTAAGTAATTTTGATATTTGACATTTAAACATTTTAAGTTTACCGACTGTGAAGTTTGAAGTTTATACAGTGCATGTCGGGGGAAAATGGGATACTGAAGTTTTCTGTAATGCTTCACCTCAAATAGCGTTGTTCGATTTTTACAGGTTCTTATGTTTTGAAACATCTAAACGTCAAATGTGTTGTCAAAATAAGCTGACATACACTTCTTAAGCTATGAAAACATCATGCAGCTTCATGCAAATTTTTTATTCATTATACCATACCCTAATTAAAGACACCCTCAATAAATTTTGAATTTCACTTCCAATGATTGCAAATTTAATCATAGTGTTTGAATGCATTCCTAACTGGAGACAAGGAATCATGACTCCACCAGGTCTAGGTGTTCGTGTTGGTCGTTCGGGAACATCGTTTGATGTTTCATTGTCCGAAAGTTCGACATCCGAAAACAAAGGTTCATTACTGTAAATAACGCGGTCAAATTCTGTCATAGGATTACAAGTATGTTGTGGTGCATTGCCACCTTCTGGTTCCGGTCGTTTTGTAATTTTGATTTTTTTCTTTTTTTTCTTCGGTTTGTCTGCGCTTTCACCCGTTTCATCGTCAACTTTTTCACCCTTTTTCTTTCTAACTTTTTTAATTCCTGTTTTCTTCTTCCGAACTTTTTTCTCAGATTCGTTTACACTTTCACCTTCTAAAAGTTCTGACGTAAAATCCTGTGACAAATTAGAGTCCTGAGAGAGCTGATAAGAACTGACAGAATCTTGAGATAGTTGAACCAAATCCGTTAAATCTTTTTCCGATTGGAATTGATCATTCATCGTTAAATCCAATGACTTTCCCTCTTCGATAGCATAATCCTAAAGTCAAATTTGCACTTGTAAAAATTTTTAAACTTTCAAATGTTTCGATCTCAGTATTTAACTAATTCTATAGTATTTATTTTTATTTTATCAAATTTGAATACAAATGTAAACAAATCGAAGTTGAAACGGGGTGATGGTTAATTGATAGCACAGCCGATACGTAGTTATCCTCTGAGTAGCGCTGCATTCCATCACTGCATTTCCATATCAGGTATTGATGACGTCACACAACAGAACACATTATGAATAGGTAATTTGTTACCGGAGCAATACACACAACTTATAAACGTGTGGTGAGATAGTACAATCATGAAGAAAGTCGTTAATAAGATCAGAATGTAAGAAAAACAGATGTTAAAAGAGATATGTATAACAACACATTTAATGCAAGCCATGCGCTTAAAAAAGCCTTTAAGTTGATTATTGGTAATGATGAGGAAAAAAGTTTTGACACAAGTTTACATACTTTTAGCTCAGTCAATTATTATATTAATTAGATTTAGCCGAATTTAATACAGAATGTAAGAAGAAATCGAATGGTTGCAACCGTTCGAAAATTAAACCATAAAACTACAACTAAAAAAACATCTCTCCCTAAAATTTTAGTATATGAAAATAGATTTAATGAAACAAATAATATTCATTTTTAGAGGTAGAGTATCGAAAACTTGTGTCCTATTTTTTTTTGCTTTTTCACACTGTCGTAAAATGTTTACACGTAGGAGGATCCTTACCTCAGCAATCTGTTTTTCTGTCGTTTCGTATTTGGCTTGAACATCTTGTAACTGTGTTTGTGTATTATCTAAATCGTTTTCCGTCTGTATACTCTTTTTCTGTAGGGAATTGTAGTCGTCTTCAATCTGAAATGCAAAGATTTTTTATTAAATAAAACTAGATATATTCCATTATTTAATGTCCCTGAAAACAGTCTGTAAGTATTAAACTATGATGAAAAAAAAACGATTACAATTAGTTTCAATGGCAATGTCTCATATATTTTGACCCCCCCCCCCCCTACCCTAAAAAAAAACCAAACAAATGGTCTGACATGAGAACAAAAAAAAGATCAAACTATAGCACTGTTAAGATGAATTTTTTGACTAAGTATCTGACCTCGTAAATCACTGTATGTTGTCTATTTAAACTTTTTTGTTTTTTAATTCTAGTAGTCTAACCAATTTCCAGGTCGTTCTTAATATTTCATTGTTTTTATAAAAAAAGAAGTTTTTCCCCTAAATTGTCCGAACTGTGCGCATGCATGCCCCCTTTTTTAAAGCTTTGTAACATGAAATCTACGACTTCTCAAGTAAAAATAGTTATTTTATTTAGGAACATTTGGTTCTTTCAAAAATAAGTTTTAAATCTAAGATGAAAGTTATGACAGGTATTGCATATACTATAGTGTATAAAACAGTATAGGAACTACAGACCAAGACGATTTTATTAAAAAGCTGATGCTACATAATGAAGAGCTCATACAACATGAAACAGACAAGCTCATGCAAATTGCCATTAATTAAAATTGAAAATTTGAAACAAAGTGGTATGAGTAAATGTTTCTGATTCCTAATAAGAGTAGGATTTTCGGGTGCATAGCACTGCATCCTACAAGATTCTATTTTTAAAATGTATTGGTTTCAGATTTCAAGATGGCGCCTCTACCGTTACGTTGCTTGGAATGTTTCCCAAGAAAAAGTGAAAATCAGCATTTCAGGATGGGTTCATATTATGCATTACATTACATCATGTATAGAATACGGATTCCATGTTAAATATCCATATGAAATATACTCCTGATGAGAGTAAAGATCCTTTAAACAGCATCAAAATACTGCATGTATACGTCAAACTCCATCTTTTACCTTATAAATGGTTAAATATACGTTAAATCCATATTTTCATATTAAATACACTATATAGCACATATTCCGTATTGAGAATTTAATCATTTAGTCACATTTACGAGGGAACAATAAAAAATGTTCAGTAGAAACTTCCGATTTTCGCGAATAACCACGATTTTGCAACAAATTTGTACAACACAATTAAGCTTTGAAATCTATATTTTACCTTAGCCTTCGCTTCCTCGGTCTCCCTCAGTTTTTGTTCCAATTGTTCAGCTCTATCAAGAGCATTTTCCTTTTCCATTTTCATGGCAACCATCTTCTTCTTGATAGCATCCATGTTGATAGTTGTTTGTAGTGTGGTTACTAAACACAAAACAAAAAGAATAAAAAAGCGAAGGGAATGGCTTGACTAATCTGCAGACGAGAGCTGTATTGACTGACTGACTCCTGCTTTTCTAGACCTCGCGCTCCACTCAAGTCGAAAGATGCTGTGCCGAAGTAAACAGTCAAGGCTGCTGCCAACTAAATTGAGAAAGAGATTCTGACGGAATGTGCCAAATCGGCCTATCGGAGGGTGTGTTATTGACGATCGGAATCCCCCATGTGGTTCGTCTGTTCAAGCGAAGCGATAAGATTACAACCATCTTTGGTGAAGGCAGACGACGCGCAAGACCTCTCAGACTTTTTGCATGGGGGTGTATAGGTTTGTTATGAAGGATTATCAACTTAATTAACAGTAACCGATTTTTGATGTGATCGTTGATTATTGAGTTTTCACCCCCATTGACTACAGATTTATTAATTACATATCATATGGAATGTCAAAAATTGCTGATATATATAATTTTTTACCATGCCCTTGTTAGAAAATGAACTTATCTTACATGGGTTATTTTAAATAACACAAGATATATATGTAAAACGAGAACTATAAACCCGAAGTAAAAGCTTCCGAATGCCATGGTTACAGATGAGGAAACTATACTTTCTAATCAGTTATTGTATAATTGATATGAGTCGGTACTAGCATAGATGTTTTAAATATATCTTATCGTATTTGTGAAATAGTGTCCCACCCAATTAAAGATCATTAAAATTGTAAAGTATCTTTCAATCACTTGTATTATTCATAGCTATTATTTATTTTCAAATTAAAAAAAATACGTGCTCGATAAACTTTGGAAAAAAATAATAAGATCAAGCATTTTATTTCAACTTAAAAAAAATCTGCTTTTCAGGGATTTGGAATGGCTACGGTCGGCCTACCACGGCGGGGCAAAATAAATAATACAAAAAAAAACGAATTCAGACAATATTATTTCGTATTAGTTATGAAGAAACAAAATCCATTAATTTAGTGTTGCATTTTTGGATAAAATCATTGAAAAGCTTCTGTTTTAGTTGAAACAAATTAAGCTTAGGCAAATCTAAATTAAGTGCTTATGCTTTTAACTTGTATGTACAAAAGTTGAGGCGAGGTAGCGAAACCAAGGATACTTGGCGAAACTATTTTTTTTTTCATAAATGAATACTTTAACAAGCGATGTCTGAATTAAGCACGAGTTAGATGGTTTTTTTTTAATTTTAATCTACAACACTTCTGTTTTCAGAAGCAAAACATATTTTTAACACCAAAAAAGTTTTTTTTCTTCTCTGAATTGCGAGGCGAGCCATAACATTTTGATAGACATTGTTGATTTCATTTAAATAAAGCAATAATTCAGAAAGTCTTCAGTGAATGGCGGTAAATATTTTTTTTTTATGTTTCCAAAATTTTGGAGCGATCGAATCCGAAGAACTATGAATCAATTTGGAGTGGCCGTGATGTTTTTTTTTCTCAAGTTTATCCGTGTGTTGTTTTCTGGGGTCTTAAAATCGAGAAAGCATTCATAAAAATTTCCATTGTGACATTCGTAAAAAAAGTCTAAATCTATATACTAATTTTCACTAAAGTAAAAATGAATTGCAATAACATGCAAACATTGTGTTTTTTTAATCATTATTTTTTTATTATAGATTTGGTCTTTCGATTTATACATAAAACGTTATCCACAAATAAATAACCTCTTACCAAAATAATTTGTTTATGTCTTTGACAACTTTGAACTTAGGTGTATGTAAAATGTACTACTGTATCTTTTTTCTTTTTCGAATAGTTCTTTTTGTACACTGAATATATGTGAACAATTTGAAGAAAATTTCACTTATTTTTTTCCATGAATTTTTGATTTTTTTTTTATCATTTAGATTTCATTTCATTTTCATTTATTTTAACTCTTACAATTAACTGACAAATAAAACATATGGTAGACATGTAAAACCAATGACTTTTTGACATCTCTAAAAAGTAAAACGTGCAGATCTATCAATGTTATAATAATCAGTCATATTTGATGAAAGATTAACTTATATGTAATTATCATTTGTAATCCATAATCACCTTGCAAAACAGAGCCACATGTGCCCAGCACGAGTCAGAGGCGCGCGTCACTGTTTTCTCTCATATGGTTTTGATTGCATACTGATCTATAGATACATTTTAAAGGATGCATCATTGGTCACCTACAGTGAAAGGTCATCTGGCATTTAGGCCTTTATTGACACAATGATTTTATTATAAGTGTATTGTTTTGTTTTTTTGCTTCGGTTTTTAAGGGGTTGTATAATTCGTTTTAAAGAAAAGAGGTCCAAAGGGACAAATGATAAGTGCTCTCACTTTAATATTTTTTGTATTGGATGTTTATCTGTTAAAAACTCATTTTCTTTTCGTTCATATGTATAGTAATAATATACCTTGTTAAATTATTCGTTAAAAAGTTTACTCCCATTATTTAAAAAGCAAATAGGGTTTAAAAAGGGACAATACCAATTGTGAAGTCCGATTTTGATGATATTTTCTTCTTTAGGTGCGTTATGAAATTTTTATCTGTCTGCAGTATCCGAAATGATCTAATCTATCTCTTACAGTTTCCATTTAAAACCGTATAATGTTGACTTAGAAGGAGTAAATATAGTCTAGGGACCGACGCCTAACTTGAAATAATCCTTTTTATTTTGGTTCGAATTTGGATGCAGTTTTTCCTTTAATTTGCTCAGAATAGATTCTGCGTACTAGGTTGCGCGATAGATTTGCACGTAGCTTTACCATATCCAAGATATTATATATTCAACAAATATAAAAATAAGAAGATGTGGTATGATTGCCAATGAGACAACTCTCCACAAGAGACCAAATGACACAGAAATTAAAAAATACTATAGGTCAGTCTCCGTACGGCCTTTAACAATGAGTAAAACTTATTC